TGTGGATACTTCAGTGAAATCGCTTGTTGAAGTCCATCAATCGAGGTTTTAATTAATGACTATAAAATTCTCTTTATTTACTATTTTAAATTTTAATTATACCGTATCGTTACATACGAACTGTTCTATCTCTTTTATTTACAAACTGAAACCCATATAATTAAGGCCTAAAGATATGATACTTGTGAGTAGGAGGTGTCAATGAAAAAGTGTTAATGAGCAATTTGGAGTCAACATGTTTTGGATGGCTGTTTATATATTATTGTCAGTGAGTGATAAATGATATAAATTCATCTTCTTGACCGTGCTTTACAGTCTTTGACTGTCTTTTCATGGACAACTTGTGCTCACTTAATAGAAACACATAAAAAGTTTCTCTGATCAAAGTATATTTTAATCAAAGCAGCTTACAGCCCTCGAAAACGAGATCGGCATTTGGCAATGCCGACCTAAATGCCGACCTATCAACCTCCCAGGTCGGCAAATTTTTGCCGACGTTAATTCAGCAAAAGTAAGAATGTTTGGTGCTGATAGCTGTTAAAAAGTCAGCGATTATAAAATTTGATTCGTAGTTCGATTATCTATAAACACACTTTGCGATAAGGTTTAAAAATTGACGTTTAAAAATTAAATTAAATTAGCTCAGCTAACATTTAGTTTTATTATAAAACATTTTGATCACAGAAACTTATATATGATGTAAACAAACTCAACTAATAATTACTAGTATATTTTTTCACCCTAATTGTGACTAAAAGCTTGCATATAAGAACCTATAATTTAAGAACCTGTTAGGCTAAATTTTTTTATTTTAGACACGCTAAAATAAGAATTTGTTTTAGGCTAACATTTCAGGTTCTTATTTTATCACATGAAGACAAATCAAAAATGTATATAAATCAAAGAAAATAAACTCTTCACAAAGTAATGAAAATAATCCAGAATACTGAAAATGTCATTGAGTGCATGTTAGCAGCTTTACAGTATAGCTTTACAGTATAGCTTTACACATAGCTATTAGTTAGATAATTTGTGCACAATTTATATACATGTATATACATGTAAATTATACCTCATGCACATACCAAAAATGAGTCGCTTTTCTTTAAGAATTTAACCTAATATCCAAGCTCTAATGATCATGTAGTCACTACATGTATTGCCCAAAGGTGGGGTCTGGGGGTTTTAAATCCGAGCTTTCTTTCATCTAGATGGATTGCCTCCTACACAAAGCAATCTGAAACACAACCCAGTTCATTTTGTACTATGATTGCCTGATCTTGTGTCACAAAGAGTGGCACCATCCCATGCATATATATATTGTCAGCACAAGCTGCTATGGCCTGTTTTGTGACATGAAATCAGACAACACAGTAAAACCCTGGTTATACCCTGCCTATAATAAGAACCTAGATTTTTTCCAAGTTAGCCTAAACAGGTTCTTATGTGAATGGTGCTTACCTGACTGTTCATGTCACAAACTGTAATTATATTTAGTTTATTCAGTATTTTCAGGGGGCCATAAGCCCTTGAGTCATATGCATGCCTATCCCCTTGGATATATGTCTGCTAATAATAATTGTTTATAAATTATATGTATTATCATATCATAAATCTGTTATAAATCTGTAAATCATTTATATATAATAAATCATATATAAATCTGTTAAGAAAAAGAAAGATTCGTTGATGTAATAAAAATTTTATCAGTGTTTCCTGAGCATTCTGATGAGCTCTGATATAGAGGGAAACAAGCATAATTATATTTAGCAATTGACAATTGTCCTGTGAAGGGACATGATGAACTAACGTGATCACTAGATTGACCAGAATTGTTTAAGTTAATTTAATATTACTATTAGATCATTCAGTGTCACAAGAATATCATCATTTAGTGTCAATATATATGAGAGTAATATCAGTGAATTCATACTTCCAGTTCATAATTTCAAAACATACATATTTATAACACAAAAAAGTTGAATATAATCTTAGCGTCTCGTACTCTCGTCACTGTCAATCTATTGAACTCTTGTTGTTTATAACGAAATCATCTCCATAGCACGCACGAGCTTGAACAAAAGCTCAGTTTATCCAGCTTTTGCACGGTCAAAAATTTCTCCCTTGGCTTTGCCACGAAGACAGGAACTGCAACCACATTCTCAATCACACTTGTTTCGAATTTCGTCAAGCGAAAAGCTTTCCCCAAGGCCAAGCGATTCTGTCATAATGACAACAACACTGGCAACATGTTTGGATGGATTGATACCGCATTAAATATTTTCATGATGAGACACTCCAAAGGTAAACACAAATTATTCGAACTCACACCTTCGGGATTTCGGTTCGCCGCCCCAGCTGTTGATATAGCAAGTCACACAACGTTCAAAGCGGCCTCTTTATTCACGATGTTTACAGTCAAACAGTTACAGTATAAGATTGTGTTATTGTGTACAAAAATTTCCAGTGTAGAAATGTACAAGAAATGAAGCGAAGTATTGTCAAACATTGCACTCCTCGGTCACAAATTATGTGGAATGTTACTTTCAACTCGTCATATACTTCATCTTATAAAATTAATGTGGATCAAAACAAAAAACGTAAACAAAGCCCGCGCATGCGCAGAAGGGACTGTAACCTACCTTTAAATATTTCATATTAGCCAGTATAGCTAAACATTGTTTATTTTCATTAATTAAGCGCTTAGGCGTTGTTGGAGTTGGCAGGAGGCGTTTTGGAATTTTCCGAGAGAACAGGCTACTTATGGAACACATCACTGCATTACCGATGTTTCATCCCTTCTATTAATATCTATTACCCTCGCCTTTCGCTCGCGCCCGCAATCCTTGCTGTTATTTTCGTTGGAACGTCATGTAATATTTTCGTTTCGTCAATTTATTCGCCATATTTGAACAATCGTTTGAAGCAATGTATTGTTTCTGAACATATATAAGCGTCCTGTTTGAAGCTATGCACTGGAAATACAAGCTCTTATGATTTATACAAGTAAGTGCAATCATTTAAATATATTACGTTATGATGTTTTATTCATATTACGATTTATTAATGTTTTATTCATACTCATAAGTCATAACACAGCTCTTAGTTGGACCCCCTGTGGCTCGAAGCGAAAGTTGAAACCCAGCTCATGGCTATCCTACCACCATGTCGTTTGCAGCCGTGCACCCCACCGTTCCTGTACTCAACGATGGATTACTTTGGACAAATCAACGTAAAAGTAGGCAGAAACAAAATTGTTAAACATTATGGTGTAGTATTCACGTGCATGAATACCAGAGCCATCCATTGCGAGATTGCAGTTGATGCCAGCACGATGGAGCTCTTGCAAGTCTTAAGAAGGTTCTTTTCATACCGTGGTTATCCGAAAGTGCTCTTATCTGACAACGGAACGCAGATGGTAGGAGCAAACAACGAATTGAAGTTAATGATCGAAGGATGGAACAAAGATCAATTGGAAGAATTTTGCGCAGCCAGAGGAATGAAATGGCAATTCATCACACCATTGGCACCGCATCAAAATGGATGCTCTGAGGCGATGGTAAAAAGTGTGAAGCTTGCAATGAAGAGAGCAATCGGCGACGCCCTTTTAACACCATTCGAGCTATACACGTGCGTTTTGGAAGCTGCGAATTTGGTTAACCAACGGCCGATTGGAAGAGTACCAACAGATCCGGATGATGGCGGATACCTATGTCCAAACGATATACTATTGGGCAGAGCTACAAACGCTGTGTCTCAAGGTCCGTTCCGAGAAACACAAAATCCTCGCCACCGATTCGAGTTTTGTCAGAGAATTATTGATGCTTTTTGGAAGAAGTGGTCAAGAGACGTCCTACCGCTATTAACCCCACGAAGAAAATGGAATACGCAAAGTCGTAATGTAACGGTGAACGATTATGTTATAGTGTCCGAGCCAAACGCAGTAAGGGGAAAGTGGAACACCGGAACGATCGTGGAAGTCTATCAGGGAGAGGACGGGTTGGTCAGGAATGTGAAGGTGAAAACTGCTACGGGAACCTACAGCCGACCTATCAACAAGATATGCGTAATTTATCCAGCAGAAGGCTACGAAGAGGAGTGAATGGGAGTTCTCCCATTGTCGGGGGGAGTGTTTCATTGACGATGAAAGGACTTCATGTAAGACTATTTTAATGTTTTAGTTAGTCGGAGTTTACTCGGACCTTAGTCGGAAGGGTTCGTAGGAAAAATGTGATGAGCTTGTAGAATATGGAAAGCGATTTGGTGCAAAATTCAAGCATTAAAGTTCTATCGATTTCAACAAACACCGATCAACATCAACCACGTTTTTATCATACATTCAACAAACCGATTCAACGTCAACATTACTGTTCCGTTCCAAATTCAACTATTCAAAAAGCCTTTTGTATCAACACCGATTTTTGTTTCACAACCAACACGAGTTTCCTTCAAGATCAACCTTAAAATTTGTGCCAGATTCAAGCTAGCAAAATTTCAATCAACAAAACCCGAAACGCTGTCAACAAATCTCGAAACGCTGTCAACAAACCCAGTGTTTCCACTCCAAAAAATAATTCCTTTAATAACCTGAAATTTCCTTTTTTCAGCAAAATTTCCTTCCAAAATTTTTATCAAAATTGACAGATTTACCTGGTAATTAAGGTTACAGAACACCTTCGAGTGTTACTTTTGCCTAAAATTTTTTTATTGGTTTCCATGACAGCATTAGACTAGTTCTACTATCTGACCAAGTTTGAACGAAAAATGTTGAAAACTCGCAGAGTTATTTAATAAAATACATTTCGCTGCAATAAGAAAAACTTTGAAAATGTAATATTCAAATTCAATTTTCTCCCGAAAAATTTTACGCTAATTACTGATTTTCAAACGAGTTGTGTTCCTGCGGGTTTTAACCAATTTTTCTTAAATTTTCACAGGACATAGCTAAAGACATCAGTTTCAAAATGGTGTTCGGCTTTTTTTTAATTTTGGATATTTTAAAAATAAAGAGCAATTCACTCAAACAATTCAGAAATATATTGCAGTCGTCAAAGAAATCGCCATATCAGCGGAATGACGAAATAAACAAAAATTTCCGAATACAATTTTTTAGAACAACTATTTTACTGTATAAAAATGATATTTTCATAAATATAACTTAAAACCAGCAGGAGCACAGTTCAAAAGCGTAACGGTACCGCGATTTAAGATTTTCCTGAATAATTCTTGCATTATTTTATTGTTTGTTAATTTTACAACTTTACCATATTTTGCATGCATTGGAGAACATTTGCTGAAAATTTGATGAAAATCGGACTGATATTGAGCGCGCAGTAGCGATTTTTCGCAAAACGCCAAAAAAGGGTGTCCTGTAACCTTAACATCAAAATTCTAGTATTAATTTATAGTAGATAACTCTGTATTTTGAAGGTTTTTAATCAGGCATCTTCATCATCCTCTACTATATGTCCTCCCATGGAATTTCCCTCCCATTTAATTTACTCCCTCTAGAAATTCCATGTGAGAAATGCTCTTCCCCTTGGAATATCAGAGCCTGGATCCCCGTTCCCTGGATATTCCAAGGTTAATGCACCCCCTCCCTTGGAAATTCCAAGGTTCCTCAACAGGGAGGGGGGGTTGTGGGGGTGCGGATAATAATTGATGTGGTTGATTATAAATCGGGAAATTCAGGACAGTTCACATCATTGAATTTGGGGAGGTCACGGTTCTAGCTGATACTTTAAAACACTAATAATCTCCTCCAACCGACAAGTTATCCTGGTTTGAAAATGGGGTATATTTCGGGTATATTGCCATGACACGAAAACGGCTTTGATACACGCAGGGGGTTTATAAATCGGGAAATTCAATAAAATTCACACTGTATTCAGTAAGGGTTACTCTTCCTATTAAACATAAATAACCCCCTGAAACCGACGAGTAATGGAAGATTGCATTTATTTTCCGCACAGGGAGGGGAGGGGGAGGGGGTTGAGGACAATGAAAAATCCGGGGAAGTGGTGTAAAAAAGGCCTCAATCTCGTTCCCTGAGCCTGCGATCCTCGGGAAGGAACGTGAGGATCTAGGATAATCCGTTGCCGAAAGCCAGGAATCCTGGCTTAAGGCTAGTTTCCTGTTCCACTCAGGAAAATTATCCGTGGATTGGAACGGACAAGATAATTTTTCTTTATCTTGTGAGTTCTGGGTTAATAATTGGAACTAATGACTTTAACACAAAGAAAAATTTTCTTGTCCGTTCTAATCCACGGACAATTTTCCTGAGTGGAGTCTAGTCTTAAGACTGAACTGCGCATTCCATATGAACAACCAATCAAATTCCTCCGTGAAACGGCCTTAGAAAGTCCAGGGGGAGGGGTTAAAAAGACTGCAGAAATCCGAGGGGTGGGGTGATTAGAGACCAAAATCGAGTGGATGTTCCACAATTCCAGGGGGTCACAATTTAGCTGGTAAAAAGATGTCCTCGACTCGCCCCCCCCGTGCGGGAAATAAATGCAGTCTGCCAATCGTTGTTTGAAAATGGGGTATTTTTGCTTTTGTTGTCGCCAATCGTGGGAAAAGAGGACTCTACAGC